TAAATGAGTCGTGAGCTGAAAAACTGAGAATCATTGGACCAAGCAGGTCGAACACAGCTGTCCAGTGCTTCCCAGATTTTCAGCTCACGTCTCATTTACACGACGAATTAATCATATAGGGGTTTGCTAATTTCCATTTTAATAATAATAATTTCGGTGATTTGATTGGCCTAAAATACCCTTCAAATTTCCATATTTATTTGAGACAATATTTCAGTGATATAATTTCGCGAACTGCTTTTTTTACTACACTCAATGGTTACAGTGAGGGTGTGCGCGTAAACACTTGAATTCGTGAGTGAAATCACGTGGTCCAATCGCGTGACCGAGGTCAGCTCAGACCCGTCGAGGTCGTTCCTGCATGTTTACAGTTCCAGAAACCTCTTCATGAACATTTGCTCGCTTCTAATTGGTTGCTTCTCGAAAATCGAAAGACTGTGCGTGCCGATCATCTCCCCTCCCCTCTTTTGGTGGTGAATGGACTATGCAATGACCAGCAGTCCTGTGAATCTGATTCGTCAAAATACCCTTCGGGGAAAAACAATCCAATCACTTTGGCCTTCTCGTCATGTTGTAAGTAGTGTCATGAATGAAATGAATTACGATTTGGACAGAGAAAAGTTATCCTGACTATTATATCAAAAAAGTAGTATTGTAATTGGAATGAGTGCCATGCAAAATAGCACATTAAATTCAGTGAAATAATTCTTCGCATGAGTAACTGAAACGCACGAATCAGCTCTTTAACGAATCTCTATAGAAAACACAAGTATCCAGTGAATGACCTCATGACTAAATAGAATTTTTCAGTACATTGTTTTCTAACAGGCTTCCGATGTTGCTTATCTATAGATGAATCATCTATTAAATTTTAAACCTCGCCTAACTGAACTGTGGTGTAAAATATTTAAATTATTCGTCCCTTTTTCTGTTAAGGCGGAATGTAACTGGTCCGAATGGCATTCGTTTGAACTGACATTGTCTGTTGCCCACTGTGAACGCCGTTTTCTATCGGTCGGCTTTCTTTATTGGTACTTGCCAATATCCCGATCGTAGATCCACAACTGAGAACACTTTTGAGCTTTGCAATTGGTCAAAGATTTCTTCCACAGTCGGGACTGGGACTGGTTTGTTTATAGTCAAAGAATTAACTTGGCGGAAATCCACACAGAACCGAGATTTACCGTTGGGCTTTTTGACCAGTAGCACAGGCGAGTTATACGGACACTCGAGTTTCTTCAATGATTCCTTCCTTCAACATTTGTTCGACTTCGTCCTCCAAGTGGGGCGGAATTCGGTGTGAAACATAGGCTCGAAAATTTTCTGTCTTCATTGGAATTTCATGTTCCACCCAGTTAGAGAAAACGTACAGGCCATAATTGCCTGTGAACAAGTGGGTGTATCGTTGGACCACTGGCCGGAATGATGGCGACAATATCGTGAGTTGATTCTGTACTCACGGCTGACAAATTCTTCCCTTTAGAGCCTGATAGCGGGATCGTGCCAAATCTCGTTACAAGCCATTCGTTGTTCAGATCAAACACGCCTCTTAAATTGCGCAATATATCTGCTCCAACTATAGTCAGTTGGTGTCTTTTGTTACGACCAAAGGATGCTTGATTATCTTGTTTCCAACGCGGACTGTCCACTTGGCTACTCCGTCTACCTTCAACTGGTAACCACCGACTGTTTTCTCAGCTGTATTCCATGGTTCCAGGGGTTCATTTGCTTGGGGTCTCGTCAACGATATTGCCTTACCAAGGTCGATTAGGTATAGCATTTTTCGACTTTGTGTCTCCACTTGGGCTTGTAGTGCATCGCGATCTACTGCTCTTATTATAGCCTTGTTTGACGCGACGGGCGTGTTCTGCGTAAACCGTTTCTCGAGTGAAAGTTTTTTGCATCCTTCTGGACAATGCCAAGTTTGCCTCATTGAAAACACACATTCCTGTCTTTTTCTTACTCTGCAGTTTGAATTCATTATTGCTGCTTATTCTGTCAGCTTTTTCAGGGCTTCCGTAACATCCTCCGGCGACTCACTTTTCGGACTTTGTGAGTTTGGAGAGTCGAAACTTCCTGATTTGTTAACCGTCTCACGGCTTCAGCGAACGTGAATATGTCCATGACACACCCCGATTGGAAAATTCACGCCTTTTCCAGCAGATTATCTGGCAGACTTTTCACAAAAAGCTCCAGCAATAATTCCGAGCGAGTGGCGTTCAAAGTTGGCAGCGCTCGATCCAACAGGGCGCTCAGGGCCACGGCGTGAGACAGAGGGTCCGCCGAAACTCGTAGCTGCGCCGTCTGGAAGGTCCGCACTGACTTTTGGCGGTCGGCCGGAGTGTCACAACCCAGATCGGGGTGGCCGTCGCGACGGCTCACTTCATCTTCTTCGGGTCTCTTCGCGCCGCATCCAACTGAACATTCTTGTTCCTTTTCATGATCAATTGGCAATGTACAATTAAGGCACGTTATATCATTCGGGGTAAATTGGAGTGAGAGAAGGCAAGCTGGATTGTTTTTAGCCTGCAGTTGATCCGAGAAGGCATTCAACTGAATTCATTCCGCTTATGATGCCACCGTTCGACAGAAAGCAATGCAGCTAGCACTTCACGCGATGTAGAACGAGCTGTTGTACCGAATTGTGTTGCGACAGAACCGGTGTTTGTTGGACAGCATGACCGTAGGTATTTCATACGGTGTCACATTGAAATGTGCTGAAACACTATGCGGGCAAACGTGAGAACGTTTGGCTCCCATAGTGTTTGAATATTCTAGCGTCAGTTCGCTTCGTCTATTTTTGAGAGCTTTGCCCTCGGTTTTTGATTGATAATCGGGATGTGCGACCGGTGTACTAATGAATAGGCATTCATATTTAGTGAACTGACACCGAAATGGCATGTATCAGAAAGCTAATACGACAGCTGTACCAAACTAAGGTGCTACACGCAAGCTAGCATTTTATTCTTTGTGTCCCACTTCGTTTTATGGGATGTGCTAATCTGTAGGTGAGCTCAAATAATGCCCAGATTTTATGCGATATCTGAATCCTGATTGATCATTGTGAGTTGGGCCAATGAGGATTAAGTACATGGTCCTCGTATTTATGTACTTATTTTAGTCATTGTGCGATTGATCAACATCATCATCACTAGATATTCCTTTGATCTCAGACGTTATGAGGTCGAGTTTAGACGCACTGTGTGGGGTATTGTGCTTATTCGCCATTCTCTCGAGGTTTTGTGCTCGTAATTCACAAATGGGAGAGTAGATAACCGCTCATGTCGTTATCCGAATGGGTATTGGATAACACGAAATGCGTCAAGCCCTAGCATTGTTTCCTTCCAAGCCACACTGCAATCGAATTGATAGATGGTTCCAATTGATTGGGTACCACCAGAAGGATATTGCCCGGAGCACTTCGAGCACTATTCGATGCACAAAGGTAGACCAAAACGTATCGAAAGTGCTAGTGTCTAAGTTGTGGAATTCTTTATGGAGCTGTACAGTCTACTTATGTTTTCTCAATCTATCGGCCTCCTCTAGTGATCTTTTTCGAAAGTACGCAAATGATAAAGTTATAACACAAACTGATACCCATCAGTCAGAAATCACTTACTTCTCAGAAAATATCTCAGTTATCCACAACTGCCTGCGATTCGCTACCGCCTTCAAAATTTGTCCAAATTGTTTTGTGATATGACGGAAACTGAGGATTTGGTTCAGTCATCTTGTCTTGTCCTTCGTGACCGAAGTTATTTTGCCAATGATCATGCAATGTCTCGTTGTATTCTTACCCAGTATGTCCAAAAGCCTTCAAAAATATCCGCCCACCTTCGGTTAATCATGAGGAGCCGCAGTTTTCCCTCGTCTAATCTATGTGAGACTCACATGAGATCTGGTGCTTCGTTTGCTAAAATATTCTTTCTCGTCCAAGTCATACTTCACACACTGATACTGATATCCGAGAATGCAATTCCCATACGTCTACTCGATCAGCTTATCGTCCTGTACCTACGTTCAAGTCTTTTTGTACAAACTGCATATGTTCTAGCATAAGCTTACTCCGTACAGACGAAAGACGAAAACAACTCTCCGAAGGAGCGTGCAACGAATCCTCGTGTATGAATGCAACTGTAATTCCCGTTTGTGGAGCTTGCTGTTCATTTTGCTCTAGCTGTCAGTCCGTGAGTGAAACACTGTAAACGGACACAGTTTTCCGCACCCACACAATACAATGCGTTGGTTTTAGAAAAACCACGGACCGCAGAAAATGAGGTAACCCTTAAGATAAACAGGTAGAACACAAACAGAGCTTGGCAGTGAGCTCATCTAATCTATGAATGAGTGTCCAGTCGACTTGTACTCTGCTCGTTAGATTTACAGTTTCACCTATCCTCGTTAGAGTGCATCGATTGGAAACACTCAGTATCATAAAATGTTAAAGCAACTGAACAATTTTCTCCGCGAATTCCCGATTTCACAACAACCCCTCTCATTGCGTGCGATACGGCTCAGCAATACCATTACGATCGTCACGAACAATTTGTATTCTCGGTCCTTCCTCTTTGTGTCTTATTCATTCATTCGTCCTTCTATCAAATCGGAGAGTTTGATGAGTTCGACAATACGCATAGGTAACACACTCGTACATCCGACCTACAAACAAACGGTCAGTGCGTTCGCCTCCTTGCCAGTGAGAAACAAGATCACGGTATGTGGACTACCAATGCGATGCTGTGCTACGCTATGCTATGCTATACTATGCAAGCAGCTACACAGTTCCCTCTCACTTGTTCAAGCCTTATTTCCAAAACGTCTCTCTATCAAAGATCTCCCGCAGTTCATTTGGAAGGAAAGAGACTGACTGGAATGGGGAGCAATTTTATTGAATTCCAGCAATGAAAATTATCATGAGTAATTAAAATTCAAACGAATGTGACAGTTGAACGTGCAGGATGGAAAACAAAGAGATGAGGGCAAATTGGTGCTTTGTTCTTTCATTCTGACCGGACCAAGGGTGCTTCCACAACGAGCGTTGCACCGCGCAACTGGCTCACCATGGAGAACGGATCCACAGTCTCCGGTACCACATATGAACGACTGAACTCGTGGACAGAACGTTCACAATACTTGTCTGTGTCCTCATTCATCTCGTGACGACCGGTTACTATTAGACGATTAGCGTCTACGCGAATCGACAGATCGTCCGCTGTGAAGCCCGGTTCAATGGGAATCTCCACATGAAGCGTTCGGTTGGTTGGTCCACCCTCTTGAATAACCGGACTGAATCGACCTGAAATGCACAACAAAAGCAAAACAGTTTACTTCAGTACAGATTCAAAACGGTTCACTTCAATGCGCTATCACTCAAACATATATTGACACCAACCTGTCACTTGAAGATCCGTGTTCGTCGACTCGACCTCCATAGTCTCGGGCTGATTTTCGTTCAGCTGCCGGTCAGAACGTGGCTTAATCCCGAGCTTTAGATCACGATCAAATTTGATTTGTCGATAATCATCATGTTTCACCGGTGCTTCGAGAATCAATATCCCATCGTTTGTCAACTGGCATTGGAAATTATCCCCATCCACGGAACTTGGCACATAGACGGTTCGACAAAACTCACTTGTATTCCTTCCACGTTCCGTTTTCATGGTCTTCTTTGCCTGAACCGTCAGCCAATGTTTCTTCATTTTCACTTCCACATCTTCCGGTGCGTATCCTCGCATGTCAAACTGCAGACGAAACTTCACCTTGCCATCCTCTCCCATTTGGAATGCATCTTTAAGGAATCCCAAGGGACCACCGATGAGACCACCCTGTGGCACAAGCGGACCAGACATCTCGTCGCCTGGCATCACACCGCCCAACATGTTGGAAGTGAACTGGGACATTTCTTTACGTACAGCCTCTGTCTGTCTATCCATGTGCGATAGAATTGCTTGAATGTAGTCCTGAGGTGCGGCCGTGTTCATTGTGACAAGCGGATCCAAATAACTTATCTCTGCGGGCTAGAATGAATGCGTGAACCGAGAAAGAATTGACAACCAGCCTCCCAAGAACATAAGCAAAAACAAGCCTATAGTTTGTNCTATATAAGCAACTGTCCGATGAACACGTAGTGCTCGGAAACGACCGAAACAAAGTGTATCGATATCACTTACTTACCACCAGCTCGAACGCATTTTGCCACAATCTTCGCATTACATCCGACCACAGACGATTTGTGGACGCAATCCACCGATTCACTTCACTCGGCCATTCCGTATTCACAGCTTGGATCTGATTTCCATCCGTCACAGACGATCGATATTTTCCGCCGAGTTTAGAAACCAAATCGCGGTACTTTTGTTCTAGGCTACGTTTTTCTCGATGCACCGGAATGGAAACAGGATCTTGTTGTCCTTGTACCTGTTGTTGTTCTTGCACCTGTTGTTGTTGTTGTTTGTCTTCAGTAGGCATAGTTTATCGGACTTCGTAAAGTTACAATCAATGACTTGTCCTTTGATGGTCGCATATTTATAGAACTGTTGTTGACCAATCAGAACACAGTAGAATTGTTCGTCAGTTGATTGGATCACCTTGTTTACCAATGAGTGTTTAGTTCAAGACTTGCGAATCACCAGTCAAACTCGAAAACAGAGTCCCATCTGAATTGCTCAAACTGAATCTGTACAATTCACATATGCATGATTCGTCATAATTCGAAATATCTGCAATTGCACCTTTGTGCATTGATAAATAAAACAACTATTCACCATACGGCTGTGGAAGAAATGCCACATGTTTGAAACAAAATCCCATTATTTGCTTTCATATAGCTGGCTTCCGCCAGTCAGGTGTGAATTGAATTCATGATTATCAAATGGATGCATAGATAATCGCTGTTTTTACACCTTCATTTGCGACCTATTAGTTAACAGATTTGTTGCAGAGAGTGGATGACGAGTACTTTTCGTTCACCTGTCTCCTTTGAAAACACTCGTGGAGTAGATAGAATAGAGCAAACTGGGATATTCCTCGTGATGAGAATTCGCATTCGCCACGTCACACTGACGTAATTATAATTGTGTGGTATTTATATGGAAGACGTCTGCCAATTGAATAACCATCACGTCATCGTCGGATTATTGAATGAGCCGAATTTCACCTTATTCACGACTGGTCAATATTCTTAAGTTGTGGACGCATCATGTAGCGTGTAGCGTTTTCACCTAGCTTAGTGTAACCACAGGGTGATACACTCAATTCCTTCGAGTTCACACAATATGGGCGACTGTTTTCGTCCGTGCGTTTGCAGACGTGATCGTTTAACCAAGCGACTGAGTGTTCCAGCTGTAGACGGAGCTGATCACCTTCTTGTACATTATGTTAGGACACTACAAGTACAGTCAACACTCTCATGAAGGTTCGCGTATTATTTGGTTCATCTCCAACTCGGATTTTTCGGTAGACGCACAACATTTTCGTTTGTTTCTTTATTATTCTTCATTTGTTTTATTGCTCTGCGGTCCCATTTTGATCTAAGAGACAAGGATTCAGCTTTCAATTGACGTTCATTCTGTGTCTAGATCTATGCGATTTATGTCACCGTACTTGATTATTTCCCACAATCTGTCGTTTGTACAGTTCAAAGCACCCGTTCTGGATATTGCGGTGTGTTTTCGCGCTATTCGTTGAACGAGTAAGTACCAAGTTCAATGTGTTATGCTCCAAGGCCGAAGAACGATGAGCAAAGGCTCAGAAGGAACGTGGGAATAGTAGTAATGAAAAACTACGGGGAAATAATACAACAGAATCATGGCTTCTGTGAGAACTTCATCTCCTACTAAATTCGGAATAACTGTTTTCTTTTCCATAGCATTTCGTCCACATTTGTGGAGTTTTACGGACAATAGATTTTGCACATCAAATAAACATTACTCTCAAATCCATCAGTAGCTTCACGTTCAACGAAATCGTTGATCTATTGCAACGATAGAACGAACGCACAGGTAACCGTGATCATTCAAATTTTCCTGACTGGGGATGACACTTGTGTATAGTTACTGGGCTTGTTTTAATCCCCATAATCTTTGACTCAAACACACATCGTGGCGACACACTGATATGAGATATGATGAGAATAGAAGATGAGGATGCAGATGTATTGAAGCACTTATTGGGACTTGTTAGGCTTGTGAACGGCTAGGTGAGGAAAACAAACTGTGGTCGGTGTGTGATGGAAGACAGCTATTTGATTGATTCCGGGGTAAAGTGGAGTAAGAGAAGGCAAGCTGGATTGTTTTTAGCCTGCAGTTGATCCGAGAAGGCATTCAACTGAATTCATTCCGCTTATGATGCCACCGTTCGACAGAAAGCAATGCAGCTAGCACTTCACGCGATGTAGAACGAGCTGTTGTACCGAATTGTGTTGCGACAGAACCGGTGTTTGTTGGACAGCATGACCGTAGGTATTTCATACGGTGTCACATTGAAATGTGCTGAAACACTATGCGGGCAAACGTGAGAACGTTTGGCTCCCATAGTGTTTGAATATTCTAGCGTCAGTTCGCTTCGTCAATTTCTGAGCGCAAATTACTGATTCTTGTTTGACATCGACACTGCTGAAATGATATGAGAGCAACGTTGATCACAAACCGAACGCGTCTCTAAAGAGACTTCTGTGGAACGCAAAAATTGTCTAATGGAGAATGCAAATGGCAGTTCTCTTCACAGCACACGGCGACGAATTTCGTCATTGCTTACTCGATGTTCCCACCAGTCGCGAACAATTCTTCGAAGGCATCGGTGGTTGAATACGGAAAGTCGATTAGCATCCTCCGCTCGGAGAGGCCAGTTCTCACTATCGTTATGCAGAACACTACGGACCGCGGGGATGTACACCCTTTCCTTAAGGGAGAGTCGGATGTCACGGCGGCACCACAAATGTCGCAGGTTTGTGAAAGCTGCTCTAGATGGTAAATGCAGGCACACGCTCCTGCCAGCTTTGAACCAGTACTCTGTACTCTGATTGTGCAAAGCACATACCATACCTGTATACCTCTATCGCCAAGTGGTTTAAAGAGCATTGTCACCCAACAAGGTTATGTCATCGGCATACTGTAAGTTAAGAACTCCGTGGCCTGGGAGGTGTTCGTTTCCCCCGTTTGCTTAACCGGATAACGCGTCCTGCATAAGATCCTCTATGGCGAATTTAAAAAGGAAAGGGAATATTGGTCAACCTTGTTGAACTACACTGGGGACGGCGAAGGGTGGTAAAAGCTGGCCTTAGCCCTTAATCCTGCCCGAGGTATGAATCTATGCAGATCGGTACACTTCTCTGATACTACATTCCTCAACAAGCAGCTCCATAGTGCTGTCCCATCAACAGAATCGAAGGCCGCGCGAAAGTCCAAGAACACAATGATTGTTGATCAACGCCATGCTAAGCATGACGGTGCTCAAACAGCTGTCGGAGGGTGAAGATTTGATCAATGCAGCCATGACCGGCCCGAAACCCAACTTGCTCCTCGCGGGCATGTTCCTCACGCGTTCTGTACAATCTACGAAGAATGATGGACGCTAACAGTTTTGATGCTATTTGGATCAAGCTTATACCCCTATTATTCGTGCAGTCATTGCGCGGACCCTTTTTGAAGATGGGGACGATCATCGATATCCCCCATTTGGAGGGGACCTGACCAGTGTTCCTAACTTTAGAGAACTGGACTTGGCGTTCTCTAACAAGCTTTATTCCGCCATCTTTAAATAGAGCTTGGGGGAAGCCATCGGAGCCCGGGGCTTTGTGACGACCCAAGGCTTGGATTTCCTTTAGGATTTCGGCCTCATAGGGTGGATCTGTTTATACACACCATGAGATGTTTTTTGGAATAGCTGTGTGAGAAGCTGTCACTGGTGGCCAGCTAAACCGTGCTTTGAAGTGCTTTGCTTAGCATTCAAAATGTCGCTGTTGATTGTAAATCAGTAAGCCGTCAGCTTCATAGATCGTTTCGCTCACACCCGAAGTTTTCCCACCGGTGACTCGTATGAGATGGAATAGCCTTCGGGAATTTGCCATTGTGGCAGCATGTTCCATCTCTGATGCACGTTGAGATCACCGGATTTCGCGTTCTCTGTGTAGGCTTACGTTAAGTTCACATCTCACTACAAGGCGTGTTGCGTTATGACCACTGCCGGTCGTAATTGACTGACGGCCATCAAGGAGGCGTAAGGACTCCGCAGAGATCCAAGGTGTCACGGCGCGACTTGTCAGACCACAGCCAACTAAGCCAGCAGAGTGCACAGTATTCTTGATAATTGGCCAGTGCTGACTGATGTTATCAGATGGGGTTGATTCTAGCTTTTCAGTTAGTGCGTTCTGAAAGACAGCTAAGCACGCTGTTTGAGACAACGTATCGCAGTCTAACCGCCACTGTGTCGTACGTTTTGGACGCCCACCGAAGCACATGGACAGTTTGGCGCATACTAATGCGTGGTCGGATGCTCCGGGGGAGTGCTCCAGTGATATCGGTAGACTTGTATACAACCCCACCATGTGTGGCTTATAGCGATGCGGTCCATCTGCGTTAGACGCTGACTCGAGAAGAGTGAACGCCAAATGGCGTATCGACAGATGGAGCGCCTGAAGTTCGTATTGGCGAAGAATAGGCGGTGGTCAGAACATAGAGCAAACAGCCGTTCCCCGTTGTCCGAGCGACAGGAATCTAGTCCGAAAGGACCACCAAGATGCGCTTCACTCGAAGTCGGTCGGCCTACTCTAGCATTCATATCTCCTACTAACATCACGATATCGGTCCGATTTGCCTTACTCAAGGGGTCGTGTAGTTTTTGGTAGAAAGTATCTTTGATTGTATCTGGGTTACAGTTCGTGGGTGTGTACGCTGAGAAGATAAACGTCTTTCGGAGTGACGACTATTTACTTTGCACGACCCTATAAATCTCACTACGCATAACCTACTATCGACTGGGATCCAGTCCAAGAGCGCGGTTTCAGCTCTCTCACTGAGAGCCACGCTAACGCCAGCAAGAACAGAAGCCACAGCCTTAAGGTCCCCCAAAAGGCGAAGGTGAAACTTCGCGGATTGGTTTGATGGGGGACGTCAATCGGATGGCGGAGCTAGAGTCTTAAATGCGAGTGTCTTGGATACAACACACATCGATGGCTAGGGTCTCGAGAGTACGAGATAAACACGCCTGTTGTCTTATACTCATCAAGTTACGCACGTTAAATGTGGCTAGTTTGAATGCACATCGAGGACGAAGAAGAGCTTCAACTGGTGGAATAGGATTCGGTGAGACTTGGAATATACTCGAGGCAGGATCGGGACGGAATTTCCATCGGAGGCACAACTGGTAGTTTGCCTGTCTGAAGATCTTGACAACAATGGAAGTATTTGAGGGTGGTGAATGTGAGGTGGAAGAGAAACTGGAAAATTGGAAGAGGTGCACGGTGTAAAGCG